CCCCCCCTCCCTTCCGTTTCTTATCCCTAACACATTGTTTGTTACTCTTTAGCAACATTTCTAACCTTCCGCACTTAGGCTATATGACATAATCTTAGATCTAGTTGTGTTGATAGTGCCGCAAAACTCTAACTTAAAGTTAAAAAAAGGTTACGAGTGCTGGCCAAGAATAGGTCTGACTTATTGAACTGGGTCTTTTTCGTTACCTCATCACCATCATCATCAAGTACCAGATCTGCGACAGACATCGGGGAATCATGGTACTCCACTCCTTCCTTTGCTTAGTTGCTCGCAGTAAGGCTACCTGATCTGTCCCCATCATCCATCTGTTTAGGCTCTCCTGGTAGGTTGCTCTGGGTCCACCCCCTGCCTCTTTTGTCTTCAGTTTTGTCAGTGATAGCTAGATGTCCAAGGCCTTTATGTCTATTCAAGCGTCCCAGAAACTACGTTTGTCTTTTCTCGGTTGTTGTTTTTTTTAAATCTGCGAGCGGCCCTCGTGGGTTTTTTCAAGTACTAGAACTATCTAGATCTAATTCATTTGATTTCTTTTCCTTTCTCAAGGAATTCTCGTGGGTGGTTGGCGGGTGCTCCGGTGTGGTTTGCTTCTTCTTTCCTATCAAACATCTACCGTCCTTATCTCCCCTCATTCTTTTTTATGTTTGTTACTCTCTTGCAACACCTCTAATCTTCTTGCGCTCATATTATGACCTTAAGCAGTTGTGAGCGCCGTAAAACCTCTACTAAAACTAAATAAGAAATTCTCGACAGTCTCCTTTAGATAACACTTTTCTGTTGCTTCTTTTTGAGTCCGTCACCTCACTGTCTTCATATCCGTACAAGGTGCCATGTTTACTGTTCAGTCTTTAAACAGGAGGGGGAAAATCCGAATAAATGCAACAATAGTCCTTTCATTGTAGGGTCTGCCTTGTGGACCCAATGTCCTTTGTTGGACCCTTGCGAAAAGCATGTGGTTACGATAGATTGACTGCAGGGAAGTACTCGGGGGGGTTACAATTACATTGTATTAAGTATATGAGAGCTATTGTCACAGGGTTGTCTCAGTGGAACAAAGAGAAACCAACCCAAATGCCTAAAGGTGTATAACCCAGTTACACAGACGGCAGTGTATGTTGTTAAATCTTGCTGTTGCCCGTTTTCAACACCGTTTGGTAGAACATCGGAACAGGCCAGAAACGAGACTTTTTAGTGTCTCGCAATCAGTTCATTGTGTTCCCAGTCCCCACGTGGCATGAACGAATGCCATGTTGTGGTGTAAACGAATGTGGGACAGTACACGTAATACCCCCCACCCTTTCCATTTTCACTTTTCTCATCTTCTTTCTTCTACTCCAAGCAAAGCGAGACTGTTATTGGGATATTATAGGCTTATTATGTGCATATTGATCTATGATTGTGTGTGTGTGTGTGTGTGAGTGTGTGTGTGTGTGTGTGTG